AATCCCCCTCGACAAATATTTTAAGTTCTCAATTTTACGTGTCAGCTTTTGACTAGAAATGCAGAAAGAAGTCATTTGTAGCGCAGAATATTGTCTAATGAAGACAACAGTTTTTTTATTTAATTCTGATTATAGATATTCAAAACAAGGTCTTGAAATTGCTTCAAAAGTCGTCAGTTTAAAATAAAATAAAACTCATCAATATTTGAAATATATTTAAAATTTAACTCTGCAGGGACAACAATTTTGGAAGAAAGTCAGTATTCTGTCGGAAAAAAGCTCCAAACAGAATTATGATTTAAATGCAGAAGTAAGAATGCATTGTGAATGACAACTGTGCTGTATGGAACAGAACTATAGATTTTTCATTACAGTATTATCAGAATTATATTGATACGAAGAGAATATGACTGTAGATAATGATCAATGCACTCACAATATTGAATTCTGTCATATCTCTTTTATCTTGCATGTTCAAGTACATCTTTTAATCGATCACGTGACACAAAAGCAAAGGATGAAAGTTTATCATCTATTGCATAAGACTTTATTAAATACTGATCGGTGCTATGAAGTTGTTTATTTCAATGATATTTCACTTATTTGAGTGGATTCAGAATTAATGTCAAGAAATAATAAAAATATTTGCCTTGTCATTCGTGTTCTGTCATCAATAAAAACATAATTATTCTCGAAGAGCGAAAGGAAAGAAGCAAATGATGCATATTTTTATTACTGTTGGTACGAGGATTTAATGGTGTAAAATATTAGACTTCACTACTTAGACAAAAAAACCTAGATAGGTTTACAAACATGATCTATAAGCATGCGAATAAAACCGGTTTGAACCATTGTCACCAACAGACTTTTAGGATCGGATTTGATTTAATAATGTTTTTGCACTCATTGTCAGATGCTGAATTTAAAAATATAGATCTAAGATGTTCAAAAAAATAGCAGAGCAGGAAATTTTGCTATGAAAGTTTTGAAGGAAACTATCTTTTATAAAGTTTTGGCTTCTTTTGACTTATTCACGCAAGCTAATAGAGAACATTATTGAGTAGCAAATTAATATTTATTGAATTATGTATAAAACAAAAATTTGCTTACTTTAACTTTGTACTGAAGACCATCTTAAAATTATTTTTATTTTGTTTGATTTTGGGTTTCATAGTCGATTAAATTATTTGAAGTTCGTACGTGCATCATCATTGCCTAAAAAAATATGATATTTTAACAACATTTCCTTCTGCTCTTTTGTAAACAAGAAACTCATAAAGGAAAGTAAATAAATTGTCGATTCTGCATAAAAAAAGACGTGCAAGTGAGCCGGCTAATATCAACTCTTTCGTACATAAGGGAGTGTGAGATGATGACAAAAGGTGTTAATTAAAAAAATAATGATAAGAAAAACCCAATAGCTTCATGATTTGAGCAAAATATTTATTGATAGCAGATTGTTTCATTTTGTGCTTCAGCACTACATGATGGAGTTAAGCACATTGGATGATTTTTATTTTTTCACCATCGGCGTTTAGAGATCATGCATGCTGAATATTTAAATATATATTCGGTGGAGAAAAGTATCTGTGCTTTGTTTTGACTGGTTTTCTTTAATAAATAAAAGACTTCTTTAAAAGTATTGATAAGCTTGATGTTTTCTCATTCGAAGTAGCCGTAAAACATGCTTTGATGTAGAGTGAAATTTAATATTTACTTTACTTTAAAAAAGTCAAGATGAAGTAGCATTCCTACTTGAGAGACTTTCCAATTCGAATAAGACTTTTTAATCCACAAATTTCAATTTCGAAATTGACTTTATATTGTAAATTTATTTTTGTTAAAGTCTGCATCGTTATTTTAAATTGTGTGAAACTAACAGTAGGTTAACTTTTTCAATAAAATGAAATTTTTTGGTCTATTATTTGATCTTGAATTATTGAGTTCGGACATTTCTAGTTCAGACCGTTGGTTCACTATTCTTGAACATCAGCGATGCATTCAGTGTGATTCGAAATCACTCATTGAATAGTAGAAAGCATTACGTAAAAATGTAGTGTTTCCATTTTGTTGATTGCTATAAATTTTTCAGCTCGAACTTTCAAATTCATTTTTCTAAAGCATTAAAACCATGAAAATCAGTAAAAAGAAGCAAAAATAATAGTCGATTTACTACCGGTTTACTGGTGCGGTTCGAAACCTGGTCGGGTGTGTTTGGAAAAAATATTCGAGGGATACGCTAAACATTTTTTTCGGAGGATCTTTTATTGCAGCTCTATACAAGTCTTAGGAAAATCCATTGAAAAATTGTTCAGAAGATCCTAATATATCGTGGTAGAAGGGTCTTCAATAAGGCTACAAATTAGAATACGGACATAAAATCATGTTCCTTAAAAAGTGGTGTAACTTCTCCAGTAGAAGTCAAAAGAAAGAAGACATATGGAAATATGTAATGAAAAGTGCAACAGTAATGAAACAGGAATTCTATCAAGTCGTCATTATGAGATAAAATTACCTAATTGAGCGTTGAATTGGGCTGCTACAAAGTAACATAATTGATGAATGATTCACGTCAATATACCAACAGATTCATCTCACTTTGGTCGAAAATAAAAGTATCGAAAGATATAAATGTTGAAAATGATAGTGTATGAAAAGAGGATTACTTTTCAACCAAACTAGAATTTGCTTGCCGGCTAAATCAGACTAGACTGAACTGGTCTGATTGTTTAGATTCAAAAGAGTATCGATCCGAAAAAAGTCCTCCTGATTGCAATGCTGGTCTCAACCCAAGAAAGCGAACTGTTAGAATCGATCATCTTGTCGATTAGCCTCCTTCAACTGCGTTTGAACTAGTTCCAAAGTATACTTACATCCGTCATATCTAGTCCATTTTATCTGATCATTCTATCAAGACTGGTCGTCAAAACAGAAAAGTGAGGAAAAAAACTGAATTCGAACACGTATTCCGACAGTATTTGATAACCTATTATTGAATGGCAGACAGATGTCAGTTTGAACAGTTTAAATAGCAAAGTTGCACATTCGGTTTGTAATTAAAATTAACCGAAGAAAAGCAACTTGACTAGTTTAAAATGTCATCAACATATCTAACGGATCCATGTTTTTCTATATTTCATTATATTCTGTATACAACTTTGTAATTTTGTTTATTTCATATCAACAAGTGTACTGAATACCCCCTAGATAGTAAGGATTTCTACTTTTTTAATACTAAAAATAGCAAATTATATTACAGCATCAAGGCCAACATGGAAATACAAAGTATTCTGATTACTTCTCAAAGAAAACTGCCTAGTAATGTTTTTTAAAATTCATTAGAGTGTCAAATAAATTAGCAATAATTTAATTTAAAAATAATTGCAAAATATATTTATGCTACGCTTTCATTCTCGTTTAAACTATGCATTCTAATGATTTTAATTGAAGAATGCGTAAATTACATGATTTCAATTTATCTTTAAGTTTAAAGTGCGAAAATTCAAAATTAAACTAAACTTCAATAATGATGTGAAAAAAGAAGGTTTTTTTTTATGTTCAATAATTTTTTCAATATAAAATAATTCTCCTAGATGGTAGAGGTGACGAAAAATTTTGGAAAAAGAAAAACAATTTTAAACCAGCTCTATTCAATATCATGTAACTAACTCGTTCCAAAACAATACGTCGAAAAAACAACCGGTCAGTTAATGATCAAATGCGCATCCATAATATTCAAATTAAAGTATGGAAATTAAATGTTTCTATAGTCATCGGAACTTTAGACGTTACTGTACGATGAGTTTTCATTACAATTTCCGGATTCTTTTCAAAATATTTTGAAAATTACTCTATACATAAATCTTTTGACAAGGATAATATGATCGACGTAGATGACGCTCTTATTTACAATTAAAAGAGATTCATTTTGTTTCACAGTTTTATTCTACAGATAATACACTGACAAGTTTTATTAAAGTTTTGAATTTCACCGACGATGTGGAAGAAGATTCCACTGCTGGTTCAAACCGAAATTTTTTGGCCATGCAATAACAGGTGCATTAACTGCAGTATTACTTCTTGCAAGATCGATGACTTTAACTGCGCCAGGACAAACAAGATATTCGCCATCTGATTTCCATTGTTGGCTTGCTTCACCAGTCTTTGGCGAAATAACTAAGTCAGTTCCCTGAATTCCGCCATATATATCGATCACCATTCCACTGGCCACATTTCGAATAGTTCCATCTTGATCGAAAAACCATAGTTGACTAGACGGATCTTCGCCGGTTCTATTTTTCATAGGAGATACTACAATAGAAGCACCTGCCTGAGTGCTACCATTATAAATCTCAAGTACATAACCGTCGATTCGGGATTGAATGTAATAGCCTAGGATACAAATGTCCATTGCAATTGAAGGTTAAAAATGAGTATTACAGCATATGGCGAGGAAAAGGAACTGAATCTATCCTTAGCCTATCGCTTTTCCTATAGGCAAGTGACTAATAGATAGCATGGATACAGCTCTATATAAGGTAAAAGCCGTAGCAAACACATCTCTAAAATCCTCAAATGTTGCAGAATGTGAGAGACAATTGTGTAACGTTTTCAGCTCAGTGTCAGAAAACCATATATATAGGTTTTCGAAAAAGTTTTTCTGAATTATGATAAAAACATAAGAAAATTTTTTGAATTTTCAATTGTATGATCTGGATTTTATTTGTGTTGATGAAACGCAACTGTTACTTAGAGGATCTAGGTACGCGAAGGATAGACAGCTGACTTGATAGGTATGTGAATGAGGTTGTCTTGAGTCTTGTATTCGTCCATATTAACTTGTCTACCTCGACTGAGTGCTCCAGTTGTTGAAACTGGTAGGTTTTATCATTTCAAGGAAACCGTTTCTGCAAGTTCTGTTGAGTTTCGGTCGGATCAATTTAATGTCGACTGAACTGCAATCGAAACTCGTCGGAATTTGTTGTAAAGTCGTGTCAGTATCTGTTTATAAGGAGCTCGTCAGAACTCGACGAAGTCGACTAGTTTCTATCGGATGGCAAATATCTTGGTCAGTAAACCGAAATTATCAATAAAACTTCTAAATGAAGTAGTGATCTTCTGTTAGAGATGAGATTTCTTCTTTCCTATTTTGAGGGCCTGAAGAGTATGAATCTCGGGAAAAAAAAGCATTCGTTGTTTTTTTCAGCGACTCTTAAATCGATATGACGATGAAGTTCTTGATTTTAAATATATTTCAACTATAGATCATTTTCGATTCGATTCGATTAATAATCAGGAAACTATTTCTTTTTACTAACCAAAAGGTATACGTGTTCCGTCAATAATAGCCATGAGGATGGATCCAATGTTTGTTGGCATGGTACTGTTATCATCAGGCATTTCAGCAAATAATTCACAAGTGTTATTTGATTGACGAAAATTGGCAGTACGGCATTTCTCTTGAGCTAAACAAGCAATCTGGCAGTAAAACAACTTTGACGTAGAAATTGTGGCTAATGGATGACAATTTACGTTTGGACATCGAAATTCTACATCGGCCATCGATGACATCATCATCGAACGTACAGTTGCTGAAGATAATTGTGTGAAAACAATGAGAAAAAAAAGTAGAACAAACTTTTTCCACTCCATAGAAGATGGAGTCTGAAGTTACTGGAATGACTTTAGCAGCCTCGAGACGTAGAAATAAATCATAATTTTATGAGAGAAAATGTCAAAGAAAAAAAAACATGTTGGATAACAAATTTGCGGCACCTCAATTTTGTTAAGTCTCGTTGCGTGAATAGCACTTTCATCACTTTTCATTTAATTTACAATTTTCTTTTATTCTCCTCTTGTATATTATTCTCTTCTATTCTTGCCTTGGACCTTGTTCTTTTCTTATCATTCTTTCATGCATAATTATAATATGACAGCAAAGTAACAACTTACTAAAACAACAGAAAGGTTTGTTTCTGACTCAACACTATTTGAAAATCATTTCGTTAATCAATTTTTATAGAACTTCTACTCCTCTGTTCAAAAATAGAATGTATGGAGATCACAGAACAACTTTCCCGAACCCTTGATGGTACCACTTATCAACTTTACTGTAAAATACATCTCCTAAAAAATCGCACCCAATGGTCTCTTTCATCACGTGTTGACCTCAAAATAGAAGTCTTTTTTATAGGGTACATTGAACTCGTCGAGAGTTATACAATGTTTTTAAATAACATAATTGACGAAACTTTTTGATTAATGTCATTAAGATGAATCGTCTGTCAATTTAACTTTATTAGATAAAGATCTTCATCTTATATATAATGATATATATGTATCTAATAACAAATAGATAAGTTATTTGAGTTTGAAAGAGCACACCGCTTATCATACATTAATAATGAGAAAAGAGGTACATTAATTTGAAAAATTTAATGAAAATAATTTTATATAGAAAATAAATTAAAATGCAGAATCTTTACATACACGGCTTGATCAACGTATTTTCATGTGATGCTGATTTCTAGGCTTCTCCTCATTTCAAAATGTGAAAATTCAGCATTTCTGTATTGAATACTTTTAATCAATATATAACTTACAGAAATCGATTATTTAGCCTTTATCTTACATTAGATTGCTGTAGATAACTATCCTTTAGACTTTTACATCAAAATTTGAATCTGTACCTGAAAGCACTTTCAGTTCAATTTCCATATTGAATTAGAACACGATAGGATAGGTTTGATTATAAACGAATAATCTCAACACATTTGTCATGGTCTGTATTAATTCAAGAAAAAAAAACGTCGCAATATTTGTCAGTCTCCGAGAGGACCACAAAATTATATTCTACAAGAATTATCTTTGATTTTTGGTTTCGTATTTCACATCTATTGACAAGCTAAAAAAAAAAAGATGCGTTTTTTTGTTATCATATCAGCATGTCTAACGAACAAATGCGGATTAGGGGTAGGAAAAATCTATATTTTTTTGCGAAATCAAAAAAAAAGAACTTTTTCTTCATCCCAATCAAACAACAATAGAATTGTATACGGCAAAGAATCTCTCAGGATCATAGTTGGTTTTTTTCTTTGATGGACAGCTTTTTTGGCTTTAGCTGAATTACATATGCTGTTGATATTGATTAAAAACACTTCGTTTCATTCTCCGAATCATATGAAAGAAAAAGAAAATTATTTACAGTAGGCTTTCCATTTTTTTTCTAACATGCAAATTTCATTTATATAGATGCCGCATTTAATGCGTACACTATTCGTGTTTATGATCGATGAATGGTAGTCGTAAGTTCTTAATGTTACACATAAACGAAATAAAAAAAAAATCGTAAAATTGTAATCATACATCAGCCCATCTTTCGTCAGAAACGTTTTATTTCCTTTTTCATTAGTCAAGCCTTCGACATTCTTCTTATCAATAGTTGAACCTTCTGGATTGTATGAGAACGGATTCATTATAATGATATATAAACCACGTCGAAATAGCATGATCCACATAGTCTATCAAACGAAATATTTCATTTTATCAAATAGCAATGTCTCGCGCTATTGGTATAGATTTGGGAACGAAGTATTCAGTAAGTTATTCATAATTTAATTAATTTTTATCTATTAAAATAATTTTTCTTTGCTTTTTTTTATAGTGTGTCGGTGTATTTCAACATGGTAAAATTGAAATTATTGCTAATGGTCAAGGCAATAGAGCAACACCATCTTATGTTGCATTTACAAATAGTGAACATTTAATTGGTGATGCAGCTAAAAATCAAGTAGCTATGAACCCTAGTAATACAATATTTGATGCTAAACGACTTATTGGTCGTAAATATGATGATTTAACTGTACAATCTGACATGAAACATTGACCATTTAAAGTTATTAATGATAATGGAAAACCAAACATTCAAGTTAAATATAATCATGTAACAAAATTATTTACACAAAAAGAAATTTCATCAATGGTTTTAATGGAGATGAAAGAAACTGCTGAAGCTTATCTTGGTAATAATGTTTTAGATGCTGTTGTTACTGTCCCAGCTTATTTTAATGATGCACAACGACAAGCAACAAAAGATGTTGCTACTGGTACTATTGCTGGTCTCAATGTCTTACGTATTATAAATGAACCAACGGTAGCAGTCATTGCCTATGGTTTAGATAGAAAAACAGCCGGTAAAAAAAATGTTCTCATATTTGATTTGGGTAGTGGTACATTCGATGTATCGATACTCATCATTGATAATGGTATTCTTGAAGTTAAATCAACGATCGGTGATACACATTTCATACAAGAATTTAAAAGAAAAAAATAATAAAGATATATCACAAAATTCACATGCTCTTCGATGTTTACGTACGACATGTGAACGAGCTAAAGTAAGTTAAAATTTATTTTTATACTAGAAATTATAATATAAACTTTGTTTTTTTTCTTATAGCGTACATTATCTCAAATAACAATTGAAATTGAATCTCTTCATGAAGTTATTGATTTTAATACATCAATAACACAAGCTCGTTTCGAAGAATTATGTACTGATCTATTTCGTTCGACACTTAAACCAGTTGAACAAGCTTTACGTGATGCCAAAAATGGATAAATCAAATATTCATGAAATAGTACTTGTTGGTGGTTCAACACGTATTCGAAAACTACAAAAATTACTTCAAGATTTCTTTTACGGTAAAGAATTAAATAAATCCGTTAATCCCGATGAAGCCGTAGCTTATGGTGCAGCTGTTCAAGCAGCTATTTTAAAAGGTGATAAATCCAATGAAGTTAAAGATGTTACACTAGTTTCATTGGCGAGAAACGAAAACAAAGGCAAAGGTTTTCTTTATTAATTCTCTTTTTTTGTTAAAGACAATCATTTATTGGGACATTTTGAATTAACTGGTATTCCACCTGCACCATGTGGAGTGTCAAACATTGAAGTTATCTTTGATGTTGGTTATGATGGAATATTAAATGTATCTACTATTGAAAAATCAACAAGTCGAGAAAAAAAGATACAAATTCGACATGATCAAAATCGTTTATTACAAGAAGAAATTCAAGATATGGTTGAAGATGCTGAAAAATATAAAAAAGAAGATGGTTTAATACATGAACGTATGGTAGCAAAAAAATCACTTGAATCGTATTGTTATAATATGAAATCAAGTATTAATAGTGATCAAATATCATCAAAACTTTCCATAGAAGATAAAACAAAAATAAATGAAACAATTGAATCAACATTACAATGGATTGAATTAAATCAATCGGCTAGAACACAAGAATTATAAGATAAAATGAAAGAAATCGAAAAAATTTGTTCATTAATTTTGACAAAATTTTATCGTAAGCAATTTTATATTGATTAATTAAAGAAATTATTCTATATATACCTTTTTTTCTATTCCAGAAAATGAATATGATCATAGTGCACCGAAATCAAATAGTCATGGTCCATGACTATTGAAGAACTTGATTAAGAAAAGCCAAGAAATGTAATTTCTAGTTCATGATAGGTTCTTCTTCTCTTATCTTGAACAACTTTTGTAAACGAATAACACAGTTTAGAATTACTATTATAAAATGGAAACTACCTTTTAAAACGATTAATTCACGATTACTTTGATAAACTTGGTTTGAGATCTAGTTCTATTCAAAATAATGATGTATTTGAATACTTTAAGCAGTCATTACAAATGAAAAGCTCTTCAACTATGTATTATTTTCAGATAGATTTTTATATTTGTTAGTAACATCAACTTTTACGAATCTGAGTAGTGATTGTAAACAAAAAAAAAAAAGAGCACATATTATAATTAGAACGGTATACAAATTATTTGTAGTCAGTTATTCAAGCTGTTGAATGCACGTCAAATCAATTATTAGTTTGTCGGAACTTCTACAGAAGCAAATTTAAACAGCTATATAATATTTTTTCTACAAAAATAACTTGCAATGCAAAGATGTTGATATATACTCGTAAAAATAAGAAAACTGCAGCCCGTATTTTGAATATATCTCCGACATAAAACAAAGTTTTTGAAATAATAATCATACATTCTGATACATATTCTGAATATTCTGAATATAATGAAGACAACCTCATCTTCTGATTTCCACAATTTGCTTTTTTACCATTTCTTTGTAAAACATAATCTAAAAGGAGTATTCGATTATAGAGAGTAGAATCTTGCGCCCGTTTTAGGTTGTGGCAGACGCTAGGCAAAGATCACCCATCAATAGCCTCTTCTTATCATCATCATCATCATGTCCCTTAGGCTTAGCACCTGTCGGGGCCAACCATTTACGGGATCAGATTTTTCCATGCCCGTCAATCTTACGCAAGGTGGAACAGGTCATGTCCACTGCGCTGACACCATTCTGTTATGTCATCTAGCCATTCTCTGCATGGACGCCCTCTTCGAGATTTTCCGTCCATTTTACCAAATATTAGATGTTTTATTAGTCTACCATCGTCCATTCTGCAGATGTGGCCAAATAACTTTAGTTTCCTCTTCTTGATGATATCTATTATGGTCTCTTCCTTTGATATCTTTTTCCTGATATCTTCGTTTCGCACCATGTATTGCCAACTAATTCTTAGAACCCGTCGGTAACATTTCATTTCGAATGCCAATAGTTTTTTCCTGTCTGCTTCTTTTAGGGTCCATGTCTCTCACACGTATAACAGGACACTGAACACACATGTGGTTAAGATTCTAAGTTTATTTTCTAACTTCAGTTTCTTGCTATTCCATATGTGTCTCAAAGAGGCCATTGCACCTGTCGTTTTTCCTATTCTGCTTTTTATTTCCTCTGAATAGTTATTATCCCATGTCAGCAGACTGCCTAGATATTCAAATTTTTCCACGTTTTCTATGGTATTTCCTGCTACTTGTATGCTATTATCGATATTCCTGTCTCCAAATACCATGGTTTTGGTTTTATTTATATTTAAGATTAGTCCAGCTTGTTCAGCAGCTGTTTTAGTTAGCTCTATTTGGCCTTGAAGTGAGCTAACGTCTTCATCGATAAGGTCAATATCGTCGGCGAATCTCAGGTTATTTATTAGTATTCAGCTAATATTGATTCCGCAGGTGTTCTGTCTCACCTGGTCCATTAATCGTTCGAGATATGCGATGAATAGGAGTGGTGACAGAGGGTCGCCTTGTCTAGTTCCTACATCTGTCCGAAACCACTCTCTATTATCTTTGCCAACGCGAACAGCTGACTGTGATTTTTCGTAGATCTTCTGTAGCAGGGTGACCATCTTTATGTCGACACCATACGATTTTAGCATAGCCCAAATAATTTTATGTTTGATCGTATCGAATGCTTTTTGAAAATCTATAAAGCAGTTGTATATTTTCTTGCCCTGTCTTTTTGCCTTTTCAGTCAATAGTCTAAGCGTACGTATTTGATGTACAGTACTTCTGTCATTTCTGAACCCTGCCTGCTCTTCTGAGAGGTATGGATCCAGATGCTTTTTTAATCTATTTAGCAGTACTATTAGAATTACTTTTCCTGTATGATTAATAAGAGAGATAGTTCGGTAGTTTGAGCAATTACTGAGGTTACCTTTCTTTGGTATAGGTACCAATATAGATTTGCCCCATTCTTCTGGAATCGTACCTTCATGCCATGCTTTGTTGCAGAGTTTGTGAATTTGTCGTGATAGCGGTTCGCCCCCAGCTTGTAGCAATTCCGCTGTTACGCCGTCTGATCCTGGACTTTTATTTCTTTTCAATGAATTTATCACTGCTTGTACCTCTGAGTACAAGATATCCTGAGGATCTTCGTTTCCGGGGAGACGCAATGTCTTCAAGTTCTTTTATCATCCCGTCTCCGCCTCCAGGATCTTTATACAGACTGCTGCAATACTGTGTCCACCTTCGTTTGATATCGTCATTTGTCTGTAACATTGTTCCCTCTTGATTTCGTATGACATTTAAACGAGGTACAAATTCTTTTCTTAACATTTTTATGAGGCCATAATCTTCTCTAGTATTTCCAATATTTAGAACTTTTTCAGCTTGCTCACATTGGTCTTGTATCCAATGTTCTTTGTCCTCTCTTGCTGATCTCTTCACTTTCCTACATAGGCCTTTATATTGATGTGTATATTCTAGGGAAACATTTCTTAGTTGTTTTAGTCTGCGCTTTTCGTCAGATAGTTTTAGTGTCTCTTCAGAAATTCATGGTTTTTTGGTTGTTCTTTTTGCAGGTACAGTTGCCTCTACTGTAATTTTGATTGCCTGTTCTATTTTTTTGGCATGTTCTTCCAGACTACATGTTGGCTCTATATCTTTCATTTGTTTCGTTAGAGCAGCGCTGTATGATTGCTTTATTTTCTCATCTCTCAGTCGGTTCACATCAACTCTGCAGCATTTCTGTGGTTTGTTGTGCGGTTTCTTAAGTTTCAAGTTGATATTGCACAACAGTAGTGAGTGATCTGAGCTTATGTCTGCACTCTGAAATGTTCGGCAGTTGATGACTGAGGTCTTCAATCTTCGCTGGATGAGAATCAAGTCAATCATGTTCTTATGAATGCCATCTGGTGATGCCCAGGTCCATTTTCGATTTAGTTTATGTTGAAATTTTGTATTACATACATAGAGATCGTGCACTGTCGCAAATTCTACGAGGCGTTCTCCGCGTTCGTTTCTATCGCCATACCCATATTTTCCCATCACGGATTTCGAATCGGTATTGTCATTACCAAATTTAGCGTTCCAATCTCCTGTCCGAATAAGTATATCATTTTTGTCTGTCTTTGTTAATGCTTCCTCAATATCGTTATAGAATGCTTCAATATCTTCTTCTGAAGATGAAGAGGTTGGAGCATATACGTGTATTACTGAAATTTTAAATGGTGTTGCATCGAATCGTGCCGAAATTATTCGTGAGCTGGTTGGATTGTATCTTATTAATGCCTTTTTAGCTTGTGTGCTTAGTAAGAACCCCACACCCCTCATATGTAAGGATTCATCTCCTGACCAGATGAAATCTCCATTCGGTGTTTCATCTTTTCCTGTCCATCGCACTTCGGAAATACCAATTATGTCATTTCTGAAACGTTTCACTTCATTTCTAAGTAATTCTAGCTTGCCAGCAGTCCATAGTGTCTGCACATTCCATGTTCCTACTGTCAGAGTATTTTTGGCAAGTTTTAGTTTTTGTGTGTTTTTTGTCGTATATGAATTCTTTCCAGTCGCCAATTTTTCGACTCTGCCCTGGTCACTCGACAGAGAACGCGGACCTTGTTCACCCGGGCGCCGTCCGAGTCGGTATGGTTTCGTGTTGAAGTCTCACTATCACAATAGAGAGGAGCTCTTATTAAGAAATTATTTGATAGAATTGAGAACTATACCCTCGAAATCGATTAGTAACCTGACAATAATAAGTCATTTCTCCGTCGTTGTGTACTCACAAATTGAAATAATTTGACAATAACATATTTTAGTATAATCTCCTTCGGACAAAAGAAAAGCCACCTTTTCCCATTTTATTTTTCCAACACCTAAAACGGTATTTTGAATAAAGAAAATGTACCACAAGATGCAGCGTGAAAAGAACTACAATTTAGATAAAAGTGCTCATTGTTTAGTTACACTTTTTTTTTCAAAATGAATAACATTTTGAACAATCAAATGTTTACTCTGTGAAAACATCATCTTTTCCTTATAGAAACAAGGCACTATTTGTTTTTCATATTTCACCTTTTTATAAGCTAATCTATATTGATAAAAAAAATACTACGAGATGCATCGTGAAAAGGTCTACAATCTAGAAAGTAAAGCTTATTGTAATTTTATATGTTTTCTTCTCAGAAAAAAACACAATTCTCTGTGAGCAGCAGGGGTGCAGAATCTACCCGGGTGCGCCGACGGTCGTCGGGGAAAATTTTTCAAATTCTTTAGCAGCTGGGAAATTTTCAAAGGTTTAGTAGTGACATTTGAGAAAAATTTTTGATATTTTCCCTTGTAGAAAAATTTTCAAAATAAGTATTGGTTTACTTGTATATATGCTAGTAAAGCCATGTAATGATCGTCTTTTTTTCTTCTCATTAAACTTTCGAAATAGTCATTGTCTATTTTCATAAACATAGTTTATATAAGTGTTATTAAAAGGAAAATGACTGTTATACGATTATCAAATTATGCATGTAAAACAATCGATCAATACCCTTCACAAATTAGTTAACCGCGTCACATTTTCATAAAATTGCTTATTGTTCAATCAGTAGCATCGATTGAATGCTTTTCTGTCTTCGTCTGTGTTCTCAAAAATC